TGTCAAAGAATTGTTCTGCTGTGAAGTCTTTGATTAAAAGCGATTCAAACTACAAGTAAAATTGCTCAGTAGTTGCTTACAGCATCTTCTCACTAGTTTTGTATACGGTCTCAGAAAATGTTACACTTCAAAATGTCCCCAGTACCTCTCTTTGTGTTGGCAGAAAAAAATGATAAGAGTGTACTTAGCAGCAAGACTCAGGAGTCTGCCTTCAGACCTGTCAGACATCTGTTTGTATGTCTGTAGCTTCTGATAGCACCTTTCCCCTTTTGCCTCACATTTGGCACCCAAATGGACTCATAAGTCCTCCCACTGGTCAAAGGATTCTGGGGAAGGATTATTTGTATTGATTTTTCTCCCTGCTTTTTGTACAGGAAAAATGCATTTTCTCATTAGTTTTGTCAGTTTGGGCTTTTTCCTTCAAAACAAGAACACTCTATTTACAATGCCTTTCCTAAAGAGAGCAACAGCTGGTTTATAAATCAAGTAGGTTCAAAATGCTGGAACTTCTTGCTCAGAGTATTTTCCCAGCTGACAGTTTTGTGGCACTCAGCTGCATTGTACAAGCTTGTGAAAATTTTTGTTTATGTATGTAGTTCTGAATCTTGTCCAAATTAATTAATTTTAATTTACTCTATCACTTTAAATGTCTAGTTTGTAAAATTTACCTGTTGTATTTGCTTTAATGTACAGTGTTAGTAGTCATAAATCTGAAGCTACTGAATAAACATTAATTGTAGTGGGTCATATTCTTTTTATTAGACTTTTTAGAAGGCTTTCCAAATTTATGCTTGACTCTATTTTAATAATATTAGTTACCATTTATTTGTGTTTATTTTATTATTTTGAAGAAATGAACCTCTTCAGGGAACAACTTGTAAACAAGGAAAGTTTACTCAAGCAAAAGGTTTTTAAGTATTGAATTTAAATAATAGAGATAAGATTCTGGTGCCTGGTTTGATTTGTTTAGCTCTTTTGTAGTATTTGTTCTGGTTGCTTCATTAATTTCTCAATATTAAGATACAAAATATATTGTACCATCCTCTCATTGTGTACTAATTAGCAGCTTTGCAATAAATTTGGCAAGTTAGTTTGATAAAATCTTTGGCAGTTATTTTGATTTTTACAATTGTTGCTCTGCAGTTGTTTTGTCAGCTGCAGAAATGTTAACACATTCCCCAGGGCTTCCAGAAAGCCATTAGCCCTAGACTTCTGCATGTGTATCCTAGCACAGGGTCTCCAACACTAGTTTTGAGTGTTTTCAATTTTCAAACCAGCTGGTTGCAGAGCATCCACAGTGAGAGGAATGAAGCCAGCACTACAATTTGCAGTAAGAATGTTCTATACTCCTTGAGGATTAAATGTAGTCTTCCTTAATCCTTATCTTTTACTCTGAAGTGTGCGATACTGATTTCATTAGGCAAATTCACATAAATTCGTCCCAAAAAGTGGTATAATGAGGGACACTTTTATTCAGTTGTTTTGGCAGCTTATTCTTTACATACTATCTTCATTCTTCAAATGAGAGCATCATTATATTTATTGTATGAGATTTAAAAATTACTTTCTGGGTTTGGTCAAACTTATTATAATTGATATCTTACCACTTGTGGCTCTGTGGTTATTTGTAATACAAACTAGTGTCAGTTGTGCCTAGTGGTCAAACAGTAAACTGGCAGACTACTAATCTTTTCTTATTTGTACTGTATTTCCTCCTACCTTGGTGACTTTCCCCAGCTCAGTAACCATCAATTAAAGAACTAAATTATTTCTCAGTATCACAGTGCTCATTAGAGTAATTGTATGGGGTTTTCTTCTCCTTTTTACAGGTGGGAAAATAAATGACAATTAGTTTACTAAGACCATTAAACTGCATTTGTTGCTTCTTGCTAAGTACAATAATGGAAAGTCTCTATTGTGTGTGTGTGTAAAATTCATTGAAATTCTTTCTCTGTGCCTGCACATACCATACAGGCCAGTTACTGTGTGCTCAGACACATTCATTTTATAGTAAGTTAGTCACTGGAGATAATTCTGTGCTTCTCTGGGGCTGGGGTTGTTTACAAAGAGCAATGGGAAAGCGCTAATCCTCCCTCAGAGCTCTCCATCTGCAGAAGCAGATGACTGTTCATTTCAGAAATTTGTCCTGATATAGGGTAAAGAGCACATCTGCTTAATCACCCAAATGGCCCATTTTTATAAATGGGTGCTTTCTTGTATAACTGTCATGCACACATACAAATACAGACAGAAACTCCACTGTAGTTTTGGTGATTGATTTCATTACTTTAATGGGTGATAATCCACATTGTGGAATAACACTGATCCTTTAGGGTAAAGCTTTTACAAACCACTTTATTAGAATATGCCACTTAGAATAGTGAGAGAAACAAACAGAATAGCTACTACTTAACATACATATACATGTATTTCACCTGAACTGACAGACACCTAGCAACTGCTTATGGTAAAACATATGCAGAGAAAGAATTATATGTGTAGCAGATATTATCCCTGACCCAAGCAAGAGAATGCTAGAGGTAGAATCCTTTGTTGGAAAGACTGCTGCCAGAAGCATTGTCCCAGTACCCTATGTGCTTTCAATACTTCATGCTTAGAAGCAACCCTTTTTACCTGCAGGAACGATGGAACAATTTCATGCATATAGACTTAGATTGTGCAATTTTCTTGTTAAGCCAGTCCAGTTTTTAGCAGTGGATAGCCACTGGGGCAACATTCTAAAAGTGAAAGAATTCTGGAAGGTTTTCCATATGCTGGACAAATACTACAGTGCTGTGCAGTTTGTTTATTCTAGGAATTACAGCATTATTTCTCTACTGCCAAGACAGGCCTCAGCCCTAAGCAATAATAGGACCTCTTTAACTACAGCAGTGTGAGAAGCTACGTGGAAAACACTCTTCTATACAGTGAAACTTTCCAACTTTTGAAGTTCTCCTCCCATCTTTCTTAAGGACTAAGAAAAAAGGCTTAATAAGTGTGTGCGTGAGAGTATGCATAGTTGTTGATTTTCATTGGTAGAGAAGAGAGATATAGAAGAGAAATAAGATGAGACAAGCATTAAAACATCCTCAGACACACCAATGTGTGATAACCAAGTACCTGTTTTGATGTCTCAAGTCAAGTTCCTAAATTATTAATACAATTTGTCTTCTTTCCCGGTGGATGTTGTGCCAAAGTTGACTTTGACTGAAATGTTTCATTTTTGAACACCTGGCATTTTTCCTACAGCCACAGTTTTGTTAAAGATTTCCCCTTAGGAAAAAAAAAAAAAAAATCATTCAGTGACTAGTTTGGAAGTGTGGACTCTGCAGTACCTGTCTTAGAGCACTGTGAGGAATGAACAGTGGCTCCATAGGGCTCCTGGAATGTAGCATTCTCACCAGCACTCTGATTGTGTTGTATGTGGCACACAATAATGTAGAAATACCATAAGGTGATGAATATTTTATATCTTTCCTCGTATAAATTATTAATTTGGTTATTCATTCACCTTTAATGAGCTAAATTAGAATCACATTTGAAACATTGTTTAAAAGTCATCCATTTTTACTCCTCTTATAATGTAAACACCCATTAAAGATTCTATATATCAAGTTGCAGACAATATTTTTCTTTAGATTTCCCTCCTCTATGCAGCCCTGCTGCCTTTAGTGATATTTGTATCTTATATTTTGCTTAGTTACATGAAAAATTGTAAGTAGCAGGAGGAACTATATAGAGGTGGCACCGAGACTGTGAAAAACAAGCAAGAACGAGTTCTCATTCCTATTCCTCTTACTTCAGTCTGGAAGAGATGCACAAAACTTCCTCTTTATCTGTTTCTTGTGGTCACAGCATGGGATTATCTGACACAGTCAATGACACTCCAAATGACAAGGAGGCCTGGCTTCTTTCATTAGATGCAACCACAATTCAGACTCAGGTGGTAATACAGAATAAAAGCACTCATTTTCCATCAAGCATGCTCAAAGGAATGTGGAAAGTACAGGATGAAATTGTCAGAACAAAATGAAGCAAAGTGAGGAAAAACATAATGGGGAGTGGAAGAGTAATCAAAAAGAATGAGGGGATGCCATGTAATTGGCCAGGTAAATGGCATAAAAATGAGAAAGGGCATGAAAAAGAAACTGAAAAGAGTAATCAAGAAGATGAAGGAAGCATATGTTAAGACATAAGACATCAAGTACAAGTGTTTGAACATTACCTGTGCACTCTGTCAGATATATCTGAAGGGGAATGTTTTATTCAGTCATATTTTCAACTTTATGAGTTAGTAATTACACAGCCTGACTGCCTCAGAAAAGTGAATTAAAATACAGTATTTAAACTACTATGAGTTGCTATCTCATTTGCCAGGTGTTAGGCATTTCAGAGTGGCTTGAGGACTCTATTTATATGTATTATATGGCTTTAAATATTGTCCAGATGTGAATACAATTGCAGCATTTTAAGTGTGCACATTCAATGAGGCATCTGCGTTTTTCACAATCATAATTGCATAAAAGAGAGAATTGTGAATGAATCCTCAAATCTGTGATTTTAACATAAATATGTGGTAAATATTGTTAGCTCTCTATTAAAGGGGACATGGGCTAAATACAATGAGTGTTGAGAAGAATGTAATTTCCAAGTGTTATTTGTAAAATATCATATTAGCATGGAAGGTTCCATTTAAATCTCAGCAATATAAAATGATTGGCTTTCATTTTATCTTTCTACTATATTTTTCAAAGAAAAATGCAATAAATTCCACTAAAAAACTCCCTACCCCTCACCTCCAAATTCCTAACCCTCATTTCCCAAGAAATGGCTTTCAAAGTTGTGTTCTTATTAAAAGGATTGAGCTGAATACAATTCTTGCTTAAATAGTTTTCCAGGTTTCAGTTCTACAATGTAATGTGTTTGGTGAAGAGAAATAGCCACTGTTTATAAACTTCATTAAAAAAAAAAATGGTAATGCAAACACTTGTGTTTTTCAGGAGTGGTTCCCGTTGCATTGCTATCCCCTCCATGCTCTGGTAGGCACGGTTGAGATAAGGTAACTACTTGCTACCTCCCACCTGAAAGAAGACCCTGACTGCTTCCACTGCTCCTTCTCAAGTGCAGTTTTGTGCTGGTATGGAGTAGAACCAGCTGGTCATGAAATTGGCTGTTTTTTCACCTGGAAGGTGTTTCTCTTCTGGATGAGAATAATGTATCTTGCATGGTCCCTTCTCTTCAGTCTGTCCTGTGTTGCTTTATTTACTCCTGGTGTGCACTGGAATGGAACAGGCAGAAGTATATGGTCAACTGGTCTCAGACTGGCAATTCCACTGTGTTATAATTTGGCCAGGTCAAGGGAAGATCAAACCCATTATTTAAACCATCTTTAGTGGTTTTAAGCCTAACTCTGCAACCTTTTTGTTCTGAAAGGGACTAGGTATGTTCATATTGTCAGATACAGCAAAAAAGCAGATTGAGATTGTTTCCTTGCCTTTTCCAACAATTGTGATCCTTGGGATGAGAATCCATGTCAGTGTGACTGCAAGTGTAACTGCTAAGTAACTGCTGTGCTTGTTTATTAGATATGGACACAGCACAACTGAGTTTATATTCAGGAGCTTGATTTCAGTGCTGCAGATATGGCCCTTATTGTGCTGGGTCATGCTATTCAGAGACTGTTTGCTGCAGAAGTGAACTTTGACCAATGTACTTGTCTTTCTTTGGAGAGAGGCTTGGACTAAGCTGTACAGGAAGTGTCATTGTGTTGGGTTTAAAAAATCGTGTTGACTTGGAACGTTTTCTCATGATGTAACGGTACATTTGTATTAGCAAAGACATCTTCATGGAGATAAGGATTTTCAAGTGTAGTTTATATTACTAGCAATGCTTATCAAAATACATAATTTTAGGAGTTTAAAAACTAATAAATTATTTATCTCAGTTTTTCCATAATTTACATTCAGGCCTGAATGTTGTCAAGGCATGTTTTTGAAAACTTGATTTCAAGTTAAAAAATTGCTGTAATTTGCTAACTAAATAAACACACAATTTTTTCTGAAATGCAAGCAGCAGAATGTGAGACATTTTTTTATGACTTGCATCACTGTAGCTCCAAGGCTAGTGTTATGGCTCAAGTTTCTGGGGAATTTGTACCTAAAACCTGTACCACTAACAGTTCAAGGTTATTATATTCATACATCTATTTGATTATTTTGAGCAGAGAATATAATTCTCAAACACCTCTGGTATTTTTTACCATAAGTTAATTTTTTTTAACAAATTCAGCACGTTCTTCTGAGGAGTTATTATTACTACTGTAAAATCATTTAGAATGCATTTGCATGGCTTAATTGACCTTGAATAATGCAAACTCTTCCACTCCGACTGACATGAGATGGAAGGAAAAGGCAGTGAGACTTGCATAATCTTCCTATTAAACTCAAAGCACTAAAATGAAAGGGAAACTGACTTGGAATTTGTTCTAAATCACTTTTGCCTTTCCCCAGTGATGCAGATACAGCAGGAATCTGAAAAGAATTTGGTTAGCCCTCAGGAAGGAACAATCACACTTAATTTCAAGGCATTTAATAATGGCTTACATTTGTAATGGTTCATGGAGCTCTCCTTTATAAAGATTAAGGTTTCAGTAATGATAGGTTACTTTAAGTTTATAGTAAATTTTAAATTATTTTTTTCTTTTAGTGATTGCTACTCACTATGCTATTTCTTAGTGCATGTACAGCAATGCTGAGTATTACTGAGATACCTCAGCACCTTTAATTGTTGACCAGCTCATCCACCCACCCACAATGTGTAAACCAGTCCTTTCCACTGCTCTTTGAGATACTTGTGTTTCCCTCTAATCTGTGATGACAACTCTGGTCTTCAGTTAAAATTCCTATTTTTCTAAGTCTACCTTGTCAGTTCAGCACAGGTTTTTCAGCTTGATGAAGTCTGAATATGTATTTCTAGACCTCCCATATTAATCATTCCCTGATTAATTCTAGATTTTTTCCTCAGGTTAACAATATTTTTTTCATTGCTGCCTTTTGTGGTCTTGTAGATGAATACTATCATTTATTGTATTTCCCTTGATACAAAACTAGCTTCAATTTTATGTTGGCAAAAGCCATTGAAGAGTCTGCTTGAAAAATGTGGCAAAAGTCTTAAAGAGCTGATTGGAATTGTCTGCAAAATTGTAAGTTTATTCAAGTACTAGAATTACTTTACAGAAAACCTTCTCTTTCCAGTTCTCTAGCCTTATTAGAAGCTCGGGACTCTATAGGTGCTTCAGAGTGGACTCAGTGGTTCATATCATCATGCTTGTACCACAGTTTTTCATATGGGAGGCTGTTTGAGACAATGGAACAATGGAACTCTGGTCATCTTCTCATTTCAGGAAGAAAAACACAGAATCCCTGCACATATTAATTTTAATTTAGTACATTTATTTATTTTTCTTTTATTTTACTGTATTTTTAATTTTTTGAGTCTTCCATTATCCTTTTGCTGACATTTCAGTAAATGTAAAAGAAAAAAGATTAAAGCATAGTCAATGCAAGTGTGACTTTAATTAAACTATTGAGTCAGAATATTTCATTCTGAGTATTATTGAACTTGCATTGTCTCATATTTCGTTGATTAACTGCATTTAAATGTAAATTTTGATTGCACGTAACCTATATTATTTTAATCAGGATAAACTTGTCTTTAAAAATGGCAATTTATTTTTAATCAGTATGAGAATATAGCCTTTATTCTAGATTTTTTTAGGAAACTACTTGGACCAAGGAAAGTACACTTTGAACTATCCACAAGTTTTTCCTTTCACAGATAATGTAAGACTTTCTGGTAACATTTCTTCATTTTTAAGCAAATACTATGAATCTATGTGAAGAGTATCTGTGAAGTACAAGTAAACATTGAACAGAACAAGAATTTTTAATTATTGCAAATTCAAATATCTGGCAACTTTTTTATCCCATAAAAGGAAAGCATTTTAAGTGCATTTAAATAAATGGTTTGTATGAGAAACGGTGACCATTTCAGTTCAGTATAAGCAAAGAAATACATTTGACTTCTCCTTTTAAAACAGGAGGTTTCATTTGAAAATGGATCTAACCTAGCAAGTATTTGAATTCCCAAAGTGCTAAGCCAAATTCCTAGGATAAAATTACATTTTTAGCATTTATTTAAAATTATTTAGAATTTTGCTTATTTTTTTGCTTCATCAAACCTCAAGTCTAAACCCCCATTTAAATTTTAACCAGATTATTTCTTCTGTCCTCTTTATCATAATTAGGCTGTGGCACCAAGGTCAGATATATGAGGAAGGCCTACTGCAGGATTTTGACAATCTTACTGAATTTAAGTTGACTTTACATTTTTCACAGGTTACATCCCACCAAACTGTAGACATTTCTTTTCTTTGAATTAGACTAGTAGCTTGTTATAATTTTTTCAACAAAGGGAGAAAAATAAGCACTACTAACATATAGCTTATCTCATCATGAGGCAGATTTATGAAGCAGACCACATACATCACAAAAAATGTCTGTTTATCCTCAACAATTTTAGAGAGCACTCAGGGTGATTAGCTGAAAAATGAATGTCTTTAGTACAACAGTCTAAAACCAGGTGAGATAAATCTTAATATCCGTGGGCAGCTATTCTCTTCCTGAATGGTTTTAAATAAACAGACAATCTTAGCATATGTATAATCACTTTCAAAATATTTATGACCCTACTAAGAGCTTTGAGTAGAGAGGAACATATTTTCTCTGCTTTGAATGTTTAGCTTCTAGTTTTACAATAGTAACTGCACAGGGATGACATCTGTAAGCACCATGTTGTTTTGTGTGAAATTCAAGCCTTCCAGTACGCCAATTTTTAAAATACACTCTATCCGCTTTTAAAGGAAGTCTTCTCTTAATAATAATCTTGTCCCATCAGCAATAATTCTATGAAGATATCTAAAAATCTAGTTTTTTCTCTTCTGTTCAGGAGCTGTTCTTTCACATATATGAAATGATGAATAAAATGTTCCCTTAAATGTAGGATTTGGGCAACTTACTATTAAAAATTCAGATTCTTGCTAAATCACAATGAAAAGAATAAAAATAATTCAAGAGTTTTTCCTGCTGAAAAGTATTTCTGGTGTCAGTGATGAAAAGACTGTTCTCAGGAAACTGCAGAGGAATAGTCTTGTAGCACTTGTTTAAATTAAGCCTATTTTATTGGTCTTTTTGCACCTCAAAAGGACCTCTCAGATTAAGGTGGGTTGAATTCTTGTCATGCAGTGATAAATTCATGTGGTCTCATGTTCACAAGCACTGAACAGGCATTGCTCTCATTGAAATCCATAAGCACTGCGTAAAATAGCACTTCTACAGAAGCAGGCCAAAAAGTTGTAGTGCAGTGTTATTATACCTAGATAAGGTTGTGGGATTTGAGGTTTTATCTTAAAAGCCTATAGGCTAAACCCCCTCAGGTTAATGTGAATGTTTGAGGGCGTTTGAGCACAATTTTACACGTGCTCAAACAAAGTGCACAGTCTTTGTGGAGCAGAAGCCCACCCGAGCATTCACAGCGATAATACACACGCTTGTATTGAGGGGGTAGATTTTGCCCCCACATCTCAAGGAGCACTTTGTCACTACATAAATAAAATCTCTTCTTAGCAGATTCATAGAGGAAAGTATAGCAATGATGGGCAAAAATTACAAATGTTTGTATAATATAGAAATGTTCATACACATATAAATGTACTATAAATATATAGCAAAGACTTGGCAGTCGGTAATTTCAAGCTAGATGTAGAGTAGCTGCTGCTGAAATCACTAGCCAGTAGGGTAACATTCCATTTTGTGTTGTCTTTGAATGCCTTCAAAAGATCCAATGCTCATTAGCTTTTGTTTCTAATATTATTACAACTTTTCAGTGATAGTTTACACCAGATGTTTGCTTCTGTGTGTATATACGGCCGTGTGATTGCAGCATTGGATTGCTGAGAACTACACAATGTTGCACCTTTAATTAACACCACTGTAAAATATTCAGAATTACATGTGATCTAGTTCCTTCTTTCTCCATCTTTCACTGCTTTCCAGGACTGTATGAGGAATAGGATGGGTGAAAAACAAATTGAAGGATTTTCTTGGGCAATTGGTAGGTTTTTTTTCTTGTTTACACACAGTACTTAAAAGTCATTTCAATTTCTCTATAAATTACAAACTGACATAGACTGTCTGATGAAAGCTTTGCAAACTATATGACAGTAATATATATAGCACCTTAGGTGGTTTGAGAAAAGCAGTACATCTTGGAGGAAAAGTGTTTGTTTCCATCAAAAAGGATATGCTGTGATGTGGTAAAAAGATTTTCTAAAAGAATAAACTTCTCTGTTGTACTTGCAAGCAGAAAAGCATTATTTTGTTTTTGTTTGCTCTATTAATCTTACATACTATACTTAGCCTGTCAGAATCTCCTTTTGGAGTTCTCTCCATGACCAGTGAAACATGAGATATGAACCATGAAAATCAGACTCGTGTGTACTGAGTTATTTTGTGGTACCTGTGGTTCTCTTGTAAGTTCAGCTAATACAGCTTCACAGGTCAGCTGTGGGTTATAATTGAGTTAGATCATCTCCTTGTGGTTTTGAAACAGCAGATCATCCAGTGAAACGTTAACAGCTCTAACGCTTGTAACGCACTAAAAGCGGTCATGAGTAACCATAGTTTCAACTATTTTGAGTAGTGTCTTATCTGTGGGGGTGCTACAAGTTTTTACTTTAAATGTAAGTATGTATGAGTATATAAATAAATGTATTTATAAAAATAATTTTTATAGGCAAATAGATGTCTCTACATATGCAGTTGACTCAGATGGTGTGGCTTAATTAACATGATGAAAAAATTTGCTTATTTTGAATAAAGATGGAAGAATCTATCGGAAGTTTAAAAAAGAAAAAGATCATATTTTGGCAAAGAAAGGATTATATTTAATTTAAACCATGC